CTTCGGAGCACAGTCAACACAAAAGTGCTGACAAATTGTGGCCAAAAGCCAATTGCAGTTGGCTGAGACTTTTGGGAATATGTTGAGTTAAAGATATTCTAATAGCGGTATATTAAGATAATATATTATATTATTGCGAATATTCTAATACTTGGAACTGGCTTGAAGATTGCTATTCCTCGATTTCTAATTAGCTAATTACCTTGTTTTCGAGTTCGACGAAAATATCTAGTTCATTAAGTTTTTGAATGATATTTTTCTCTTTTATGAGGAGCAACAAATACCCGAGGAACAGAATATTTAAGAAGCATTTCGTCATAGTACATATAATTTTAGATCGGATAACCGGATAACACCAGATCCCCAATGCTAGGGCAACTGTAATGCTGCTTATCAGCTGGAAATTAACAACAAAATCGCCGCTAATCCACTTTCATTTCGCTCATTCAGTTGGGACTTTATCAGGAGATTTGCCTAGGACAATCTATGATAATTTGAATATGGAATTTACCCATGCTAGCCATCAGTCCTGAAATGCTACGGCGATGACGTTGCACTCGCATATTTTGCAGATCTGACGTCAGCGTCGCAGTCCGCGCGCTCTGCAGCTGCTGCGCCTCTGCGCTGGCAGCGCTGCTGACGCTCAGTGCATTCGGCTGGGACATTTTAGACAATGCTCCTGCTGCTGCTGCTGCTGCTGTTCTTGCTGTTGTGGTTGTTGTTGTAGCTTTGTTTAAATATTTGGTATTTTTGGTATTTATTATTTGGTGTTTTGGCTTGTCGTCGAGAGAAATTCATTTTGTTTATGTTTCTGTTTTTTTTTTTTTTTTTTTCATTTGCAATACGAAAAGTCTGTTCCAGCTGTTGTTGTTCTTGTTGTCGTTCACATTACACCAGCTATTTAAACAACAATATAGATGTAATTATAAAACATGTATGGAGTCTCACAAAAATTGGCTCAAGGCGACAATTTAAATAACACATCAAAACCTAATTATTATTCTTTATAACTAAACATAATTGGTCACGTTGCCTTTGTATTTAATTATGGATTAATTGTTCACAAATTCAATTTTTATTGCTTTAAACATTTTGCTATTATCTGTGGCTACCGAATGCTTCCTTTACACTAACTCAAAAAGAAGTTTTTAAATTAATTCGATTTTACATATCAAGAATTTTGTGCTTTTTGCTATCTAATTTATGCAGGTTTCTTATTTTGATTCGAACTTTCTTGTTTATTACGAATAGAATTTTTTTTGCAATTAATTCGTATATTTGGTATATATACTTTTTATGTATTATTGAAATAATTATTATACAATTATACAAATACACATGTATGGACATACATATGTACATATATATGCACATTTAGTTATTAATATAAACCACTTGCCGCTGATATACATAGGTATGCACATACACAAATACATATAAAGAGCTCATAAAACTTTGCACAACAAACTTTTGGCACAAAAGGAAATTTTGCAATGGTGTAAAAAAACTGTAAATGTAAACAGCAGCAGCAGCAGCAACAACAACAAATTCCAGTTGTAATCACAATTGCACACATATACATATATATTATATACTTTGTTTATTAAGCGATTGCAGTGTTTTTAACTTTTGTCGAATATTTTGGATTTTTGCATCTTTCAGATTCACGCACGCTTCAGATGCATAGTTCCGTTAATAATAACCGAAAAATCTTATGGTGGGAAATCAACACGTCTGTTGATAATAATTGCCCATTGTTTACTTTTGCCATAGCCGGAGCCAGTGACTAACGGAAGTTGCAGCTTTCAAGAAGCCGTTGCTGGAAGCCGCAACGCTAATATTTAGCGCGTAGTGACATTTAAGACCAAGCAAAAAATATAACAAAAACAACTACAAGAGAAATGCTGCCACGCTGTTCTCTTTTTGCTACGTCTGCTTCTTTCTACCTGCGACAACAACAGCCGAACAGTCGTCGACCGAAGAAGATAGCGCGCAGAAAACGGAGACACTTCACATGCACATGACACGCACAGTCATACACACAAACACAAACACACACATACACGCACGCACACTGACACAGCGCGTGCCCCGATCAACGATCGATTCGAGTTGCGAACGCGAGCGCGTAGCCAAAACGTTGCATCAACGTTGCCGTCACTTTGTTTAATAATAGTAACTAAACCAGTCAACCGCCGCGTTGGCCAAAGCTTTTTTCTGCTCGTAGCGGCAAGCCAAACGGTTAAGGTTTTAACCGATTGAAGAGCGCGCGCTCTTTAACAACTGTCACTTTGCGCGCTCTCTCTCTATCCACTCTCTCACGAGCAGTTATAGGAGTTGCTGGCGAAATACAGCACCAAGAACGGACGAACAGCTGTTGACAGTCTTTCAAAAGTGCGCACTGAAAGTGCGAGCAGTGCGGCAACATTTGAGTAATGTTGGGAGATTAAAATAAAGCTCACTTTTAAGAGCTATCCATAAGCATCCAAGGTCGCAGCCGTAACGAGCTTAAACATTTTTGTTGCTGCTCGTAAAGGGAGCTTTTTCATAAAGCTCAATTCTGATCGCTATGGGGAAATTCTATTTTCTTGCCATATATTAAATTGTATTTTAAGGATTGGCACCATAGAAATTTGAATACAAATAATTAATCTCAAGACAGTCAGTCCTCGCAACATTTCAATAGCTTTTGCTCTCTATATATATGTAGTATGTGTATGTACCTGTCTCTGTATACATACATGTATATACATGTACACATGTATGGGAAATTCTATCTAATCGTTCGATTTTGGTGTAATCGACACTGGTTATTCACATTTAGGCTACGTGAATATATAGCAAATTGTTGTCACAAATGAGTCGCGGCAACTTACGGCAAATTATAATTACATTTCTGATAAGATTATAGCAACTAAATAAACAAATCAAAAATTGTGGGAATATTTTTACACAGGCATGCATAGTAAATATAACACTCTACAAAAGAGCGCGCCAAGTGATTCCGATTTGCATTCAAGTGCTGGCGACACACCCACCAGGTGGATTACTTTTCAGGTAACTGCTAAAAACAATAGCTATTAAATTAAACAAATAATTCTAGATATACGATATCTTGTGTTTTAGAAATATATTTTGATATTGGAGTACTCATAATCTACCCGGAATCCTCTTGAAATTGGTAACGATTGTTATTGTGGAGGTGTCAGACTAAAGGAGGCGTGGCACACCCCCTAACATACCGATTACGACTCTGATTTACTGTGTATACGGAATATGTCTCTTGTATATTTCGCATATTGGATTTCAGCAGATCATCGGCTAGCTATGCTGGTGGATCACTTCTCTCAAGTTGTCAAAGACATCAACTATGACGCTCTAACTTCTCGCCAATCATATGTGTAATACCTTTCAAATGCAAATGACCTTACCTTCAGAATTAAACAGTCTCTGGCATGCTGTGTCAGAGAGCGGTGAGCGGTGTTACAAAGTGATTTATTAATTCGTATTCAGATACGTAAATCTATATATATATGATATAGACAGCAATTCGTTGATAATTCCTGTGTGAAAACTAGGGAAACTTTAATTCCTAAAAAAAAAGCTCTCGATGACAGAAGCATTTTTATTCCAGTCGCAGTTTACATAAGATCAAATGTTAATTGAACTATTGTTGTCAGTTTCCAAATGGAATTTAAATTAACGATTTATTTTTCTATCGTATACTTCGCCATAGGCTATCCGGTTATTAATAATCAGCTTAGCATCCAAAAGGTGAGCAAGTTCCCTCGTCTGTTGAGCTATTTCTAGCATTACTGTTGCTTCGTCTTCAGTTTTCTCCTGCTTAGGTGAAACCTTTTGAGAATTCTTTGATTCTGCTTCCTTACGCAGAGTCTAACAGCCTCAATAAACTATTGTAATCTATTCAGTAATCCATTCAACATAACTGACAATAGTTTTGTTTTTATAAACAAAGCAATAGACATTATACCACTAATTTAGAAATAGGTCGCTGTATAATTATTAACTTACTATAACTAGATTATTATCACGACATTTTAAAGAAAAATTAATAATATGGTGTCGTCATTATACAAATATACTAAAGAGCTAATAGAATTTGTCCATTCTCGATTTGATGTTACAGTAGAATTTTCTAAAAAGCTTTGATATATTTTCTATTTTTAGTACAAATATCCATTGTTTCTAATCGTTTCTAATATAAAAAAAAAATTTTGTATCTTTAATCGAAATATTCTCGATTATAACACAAAAACAAAATCTAAAACGCGGTCTAGAAGGAAAGGAGTAAATTATTATAAATAGTTTTTTGGTTTACAATATTAGATCAGCAGAAGCACTTTACTTTACTTTCTGTTATACCAGATGTGTTGTACCAAATATTGACAAATATTAATACATTAAACCGTGAGTACACTCTTTTTACTCCGCAGAGGAAACTGAGATTTACAGAAATAATAATAATAGGCATTGAATTGGATAATTTTTACTTATATATACTTTAGCAGACAGTTGTCTATGCTATTCAATGCAATTTATCTGCTCAAACTAAAAGAGTGTATTGGTTTTGCTAAATCTCCGACTAGCTGTTATGTTAGTGCATGTTCCGTTTAAAGACATATGATTATACATACATATACATATACATTTATATTATATAATATATATTATATTATATAATATATATTTTATTATATAAACACACAAATCTGGCTTATCTGATCTACATATATGTATTTTCATTCTCAGCTAAAATTTGTTTTAATTACGCCTTTATGATGAGTCAATAGCTGAAATACACAGATACAACTTTGCTGCAAATCTCTAATCAAATACGAAATACAATGAAACAGAAACGGGAATGTGAGTGATTAAAGGAGTAAAAGAAAGAGAGAGATAGAGATGCAATGGTAGATTGGGCATACCTATATAAATTATTAACATCTTAACAGTAAATATATCTTCTACATATAACTTACGATACAGGTGTGAATGTAATATCCAAAAGCTAAGTGTCAAGTGCCAATAGATTCTGGTTCCGGAATATCCTTTGAATTGGTTCGATTTGCTTAAAGTTAGATTCCTTTATGAACAAGTTTTCATGATTCATGCGAATTGCTTTCAATTATATACACACACACATATGCAATTAATATGCGTGTGTTTGTGAATTACGTATGCATGTAATATGTGTTTCAATTATATGGGTGTCTAGTTCGCTCTTTGATGTCGTATTCCTTTCGAAACGCTCGCAAGTGGAAATCAATTGGGGCATAACGGCAAAGGCGCACGAAAATCTTTGTATTTTAATTTCCAAATTGTTGTGATGCCCAATCAACACGAACACAGTTACATTGACGCGCACACATACACAGACACGCCGAGAGGAGAGTGTGACCGAGAGCGGGAGAGAGAGACCGAGACGCACGCGTAGCTGTTGAACTTTCTCAACACCAGTTGAAAACTTGTTGCCGTAAATACAAAATAAATACATACATATGTACGTACATACATATATTTATGTTTAGCGGAACGCAGTCGCCGCGGCCGCCGCCAGCTTTGCCGTCTAAATTATAACTGACAAAGCAAACGTAAGAAAAATAACAAAAACGTGCTGGCACAACTGGAAGAGAGCACTGGAAGGGCAGCCAGAGCGAGCCAGCTGCATGTTGCGAATCTTAAAGAAAGTACGCGCAGTGTGATGGAAGAGCATAGCGTTCGAGGTGCCCGCATTGTGTAATTTTTTATTTTTGTAATCAAGTCTGCGACTTTACAGCTCAAGTATTTTCCACTAAGTGTGCACTTTAATTCAAGCTTTGACATTTCTTATCGTCGCGACGTATTCGTTCCAGCGTCATAGAGCACGAGCTTTTCGGTTGGGAGCGAGTTGTGAGAGAGTTTGAGCATAATGGCGATCGAACAGCTGAGCAATGGTACAGTGGTACGAATACCGAAGTTTTTAAATATAAAATTTAACTCTTAAAAATATGAATTTCAAATACGTTATGAAACAGAATTATTATACCCTGATTTCCTATTTTTATTGCGTTAATATATAAGACCAAAATTAAATTTACATTAAATAAATAAATAAATACGTAATTTGTTCTTAATTACAATAGTTACTTGACCTTATATAAAATGAAAATTAATTAAAGAAATTTGTTCCTATGCTGTGGATCTTAAATAAAATAAAAATCTTTTTTAGCTGTATTATTTGAGAAAATAATTCGATATAAAACAACTCTTTCCAAATAATTAATAATAAATAACTTCATTTCAGCAATAAAATATTTGGGCTTGATTGTTTTATATAGTTAAATAGTTTAATTTGTTAATAAAATATTCATTTGGTTTTATATTTTAGTATAAAGAAACTAGAATGATTGCAGCTGCAGAGAGAGCCCTCATTGGTCACTTAGAGCTCAATTGCAACGACCTCTACCTGTCGCCGGGCTCAACATTTGAGAGCGATCTTGACTTTGAGTGAAATTTGCCCTATATAAAGGGCAGCAGCTGCAGCATTTCTTCAGTCGTCCAGGCCCGGTGGAGGTCAATCGCGCAGTGCAGTGAAGTGAAATGTGATCTGGAAATACTTGGCGGAAATATTTAGAGGAAATACTTGGAACAAATAAATTAAGGAAATACTTAGAGGATATGTAGTTAGAAAAAATACTGAGAATACTGAGAAATACTTAGTGGAAATACTAGCCCACTTCTTAGTTTTGTGGTTTGTTTTGGTGTCCTTGTTACTTGATCCAACAAAATTGGCGAAATTTGTATCATACCATGTACAAAAAAAAGAAATACTACATATTGTGTGCCACACTATTACGTTTGATTTCTGATTTGAATATGATTAAAAATTTGACAATATGACAAATGAAAATTTGTTAAATATATTTGCTACTTTTCGTATGGTTTCTTCCACTTTTCTACTAGCCGCTATTCCAGCAATTTTCATACATTTTAGCCTACTTTTATCCACAACCCAACTTATTTCGGAGCTCAACAGCCGGCAAGACTGGTGATACATGAACTTCGTGTTCTGTTCCTAATAACAGTTATACATTCTGTTATGCAATACAATTACTGTGCTAAATGGGCCCATACTTACCTCTACATATAACAATGCCTAGATAAATATAATAAGAATCACTGCTTTTGATAAGTGATAAGGGTTACACTGGAAAAAAAAACGCACACACCTGATAAGAGCTTGAATCGAAATAATAATGTTCTCTTTACAGGGTGTCCCTTTTGGATCAACTTGAAATGAAATATTTTGGTAGATTTTTTCTTCATATAATATTTGATTTATTTTGTTAATTGTTTTCTCTTGTTTTCGTTTTTAATAGCTTTATAAATTGTTTCATTTTCTCAGAAAAAATAATGTATTAATGCTCTAATCTATCGACTACGTACATTAAGATTTTACTTTCCATATAAATTGTTTAGGCATATATATTTGTATATATATTTATATTTATAATTATTTATAAATGTAGTAAATTGTATTTTGTATGCTTTTTGACATTTTTGAATTTTGAATGGGTTTTTAATTTCATTTTTTTTTTTTTACAGCGATCCCTTGCAGCGTTTTCCAAATACGTTAATCAAAAATAGTTACATTTTATACGGTTTATTATTCCAGATATTTCTCACAAATATATAAGTATATATGATTAATCTATAGCACATTAAATTTGCTTATAAAGCTACTGCATATAGTGTTTTTCTGTCTGCATGTGTGTGCGTGTGTGGATGTGGGTGTGGGTGTGGTATTGCTTAAAGAATTCACATTGAGAATCTAAATTTAGATTTGAACTGCCAACAAGAAAAACAATTGATAATTTCACAAATAAAAACTTTTGATTAGGAAGAAGCAAATCGAATTTTTATACGACGATTACGATAAATATTTATGTATGTTTATATTTATTCAATTATATCTATGTATATGTATATGCACTTGTATATATGTACTACTGTATGTACTGCCATTAAGTTAATATATATAAAAATATATATATATATATATAGATTTGCAATTTGTATATTACAAAAAATCATAAGCGTCTCGTTTGCGTGATTACATTGATCTAAAACGATGCATGGCAATTGTTGATTTGATTTATCACATATATACATACTTATATAGAAATATATGCCCTTATATATTGGAAAAATCAAATGAACTACTGCAATACACCCCTTAACGTTATTCCAAATTTCATAACTTATGTGTATATACTTTTTGAATTTTGCTTTTTTTTTTCTATTTGTTTTGACACAATGTGTTTCGTTCTCGCCCACCGTCCAGACGCACTTTAGGCATCCGACAGATCACAGTAAGCGGTTCCTCCTCCCACTCCTCCACCTCCGCTGGTGCCCACAGCCAACGTCTTCTGCTCATCGTCCATAAGGGCATCGGCAAACTCGACGCTCGCCTCATGATGGTTCACCTGGGGCGAGGAGCTGCTCTCGCCACAATTCGTGGCATACACATGCCGTCTGCTGCCCCCGGGCAGCTGATTCGAGTCATCCGTGTCTGCATCTCTTATGGAATTGAATGCATTACATGCATTCGCATTCGGTGAACAGGTGTCATCATTGGGTGGATAAACGTGACGATGATAGCTCCCTCCCCCACTGCCTCCCCCGCTTATGCTGACATCTCCGTCCAGCTCCGCATCCCGTACGCTGCCAAACACCGGCGTATGCGATGAGCTCTTCCGCAACGAGGCCGGCGGCGACCAGACGGTCTGGTACAGCGGCGAGGCGAAGACGTACATGTGATTCAGATACTCCATGTCGTAGCTGGGCTGATACGAGTCCGTTTCTAGCGGGTTGTACGTGTGCTGATACATCGGCGTTTGCCGGCAGCTGGCAGAGCCTGAGGCGCTGCCCGCATACTGCGGCGTATCGTAGTTCTGCGAACGCGTCGAGCTGCTCAGCAAATGCAGCTGGGCGTGGCCTCCGTGACTCCCGCCCGCACTGCTGCCCCCACCACCCGCTCGATGGACAGGCAGCGTGGCATAGATGCCGCGATACGCCTCATACGGTGTCTGCGGATAGTACGCATCGCTCCATCGCACATGATTCGGCGTGTAGTCGCCTTTGGCATACAACTGCAATGAAAATGCGGGAAATTTAGTTTGTGAACTTTCATAAAGGATTTCAAAGTGATTTGAGAGCTAATAAATTGAACGAATTTGCAAACATCTAAAGGTTTGCGAATTATTTATAATAATTTATATGGAAAATTCTAGCAATAGCTGTAATAACAACATTTGCTGTTAATAAAAAAATGTACAAAACCGATGAGACTCGTATAGAGAGGCGACTTTAAGTCAGTTTGATCAGATAGTTTTTAAATAAGGCTAACAATAAGCAAGGGTTATATAGAAGGTTCATTTGGAAGCATTTACAACATTTTGTTAATCGACCGTATTGATCGTACTACTTCTGATTTCCCTGGCGAATATGGGTATACGTATAATCTAATCTATTGCGCTGATCTCACACTTCTTCAAGTAGATCATTTTTCTCACCTGTATGGGTCGACAAAAGCCCTTATTCATATGCCTAGGCACGCCCAGCGTGTAGCTATGACTGAAGCCCACCTCCGGGCTTAGAAGATACTCGTGGAACTTGTTGGGAAAGAATTCGATCTTTTTGTAGTTGTTGTAGATTTCCGGCTGTAAGTTTAAATTTGACGTTATTGGCAATTCAGTATAGTATATAGTTGGAGCCATACCGTTAGGTTCTTCTTCTTTTTATAGCTGGCCCAGTTTTGCGCCTCGAGGATGAGCTTGCCGCCGGGCCGCAGTTGATTGAAGATACGCTTGAAGGCCAGTTTGAGGCCCGCGTCCCCAAAGTTCAGATGTATCCACTTGGTGACCGATAGACACAATATGAGATCGTATTGCTGAGTGTCATTCGACATGAGGGACTCGTCCTTCAGGACATAGTTCGTTTGGCGAAAGAAAACATTTTGCGGAAATTGGTTTTTGCAATTGAAGTTGAGGGGCGATTTTCCCGTGGGCGGCAAGTGGGGCATGCCACCGTATGTTAGGGGGAAGGAAATGGGAAAGAATTCGTGTGGCTTGACCAGCAATGCATCCAGTTTCTGTTGCTGCTCCAAATGATGATGATCGTGACTGTGATGATGGTGATGATGATGGTGGTGGTGGTGATGAAATTGTTGCAGGTGTTGCAGGGCCAGCTGCTGCTGCAGTTGCAGTTGTTTCAGGTGCTGTTGCGCCTTGCGGCGCTTCTTGCCACGTCGCGTCTTTTTATGCCCATCCCCTGGCTCCGCCTTATCGGGCTTTGACTGCGACTGCAACTGCTTAGTCTCTGGCACCAGTCGATCCTCCTCGGGTATGCGCACAAATATCGATAAGTTCCGTCGCGCTCGGGCAATCAGTTTGCGATCGATATCGATGCCCAAAATGCTCTTGGGCGCCAGGTGTCGAGCCACTGTGATGGTCATGTGGCCCACATTGCAGCCAATGTCGAGAATGTCCTTGTTCTGGAACAGTTCCACATGCTGCTCGAAGACCTGCAGTCGCACGTCCCGGAACTCGTTGAGGTGTCGAAAGTCCACATAGCGATCGAAGTTGCCATAGCGATATTTGAGTCCATCCGCCCGGAACTTGGGCGTCGCCGCATGCAGTGGCGGGATCAAAGCAGGCTCCAGCATCAGGCCAACAACGGGCTGACCTTCATTTGCCGCCGTCGTCCCCGCTGTTGCGGCTACTGCTGTAGACGAGGCCGTTGCATCATCCGCCGAGGGCGTGTCCGGCTCCCCGGCCGTGTGTGATGTGGCTGCGGAAATGGTGCTCAAGGGACTGCCCAGACCATGCTCCGACAGATCGGGCGTATCGTCGCGTGGTATGTCCACAACTGAAAGAAATGGAGGATTGTAGTGTGTGTCACCAATTGGTTACTTGTTGCGTTTACCCTCGACGAGCGGCTTGTGGGACAGCTCCTCCACGGGACTCAGCTGCTCCGTTTCGCTAAAGGATGTCGAGCGCCGCGTGTTCGGCTTGCGTGCCCCACTTGGCTGCAGGAGACGTGGCGGCCGCTTCCACGCGCCCGGCTGTGGCACCACAGGACTCACAATTTTATCCAGGCCATCGTGTCGATGGAATTTCTATGCAAAAAATATTTTAATTAGTATAGGAAAATATATATCTTTTAAAGTTGCTCGTATTTGTCTTAGTTTGTATTCTATTTCTATTACCACTAATTTATATCAAAAGTGAACAACTGAAAAATAGCTTGGGTAAATTTTTAATCGCTTTTTGCAACCCTCAGAAAACAGAACCGAAACAAAACTCTTTCTATGTCGCCCCTGACCCCTTAACCTCAATCTAAGCAACGCTTGAACAAGCAGCCAAACGAAAACAACAAAACTGACAAATAAACATGCGCGCCCTAATTGGCAGAACTCGACTAGGCGATACCCTGAGGTCTATGAAAGTATATATTTGCCAATTATTCTAAGCTTATTTTATGCATATGTAAATACATTTTTCTTGAGATGACTTTTGTTTTGAAACCAATTTCTTAATAGAAATAACGTCAAAAATGAAGCTTAAGTATTTGAAATAGACTGCAATATAAAATTGATTGAATTATCGTTTACGGTATTCAAGCTATGCTTAAAAAAAGCCAACTTGCTATCGATTTTTATATTTAGCGAAATGGGATGAGTTATCAAGTAATAATTAATTCTTTGCTTTACATTCGTGCGGACGGACAGATCATACTACATACATATATATACATCCACACATTTACTGATTGTTACATACATTTTCACAAAACTCTTATACCCTGATTTCACATTTTCATGTGGCTCAGGGTATAACAGCCAAAAGCAATCAAAACAAAGCAAGCGATTGACTTGCTTCCACAACAACAACAACAGTTAAAGCCCAAGTTTAAGCACACTCACATTTACTCACACACACATAACAGCCATACTCACACTCTTAAACAGTTCTCATTCCCATTCCCATTCCCATCCATTTCAATTCCATTTCGTACCCACCTTGCTCTTTTGCGAATTGTTGCTCTCGCTGATTTTTCGTTTCCTGCTCCCGCTGCCAAAGCCGGCAGCGCTGCCTGCGGCAAAGCTCAGCCCTGTGCCGCCAACACCGTAACATGCGCTGTCCAAATCCAAGCGTAAGTCTCGACTAGCCAGCGCACGTCGATCGGCCAGCGTGGAAGCTACTGCGAGCGCCGCTGCCGACGTCGCAGCGTCTGTTGCTGCTGCGCTAAGCTCCAGATCATCTGAGCCGCTTTTTATGCTGCTTATGCTAATGTTGCTGCCGCCTCCATCTGCTGTGCGCGTGTTGCCGTCGTCGCTGCTGGGCAGCTCGGCTACCGCGGCCACATGTTGCTGTTGCAGTTGTAGTTGCAGCTGCTGTTGCAGTTGCAGTTGAAGTTGCAGTTGTTGCTGAGGCAGAGCTTGTTGCAGAGGAGATGACGTTAACGCTGGTGCCGGCCGCATAAGGTTGCATTCCATTTGTTCCTGTGGCGAGAGCGTTTGTGCTCCGGCTGCCAGAGCTGGCGTTGCCGTTTCCTCCATGGCTGTGGCCGCTGCCTGCGGAGAGCGAGAGCGCACATGCGCCTGCTGTGGTGCCAATTCCGACGTTTCAACCGACGCCGACGCTGCAGCCTCGCTCAGCAGAGTTGTGGCGCTCAGCGCAGCCACTGGTGACGTCGCAGCCGTCGTCGCTATTACTGCTGCTTCAGTTACGGCAGCAATTGTTGCTGCTGTTAATATTGTTGGGGTTGATGTTGCTGTGACATTGACGGTTGCGTCGGGTGTCTCTGTCGCTGCTGCTTCTGCTGCTGATGCTGTTTTTGTCGCCTTTGCTGGCACATCTTCCAGTGAAATCGAAAGCGTCGCCGCCTCAGCGACGCCATCGGCTACGATGACTGCGACGTCATCGCCGGCATACGACGTGTTGTTGGAATCGTAACGCCGACGCTTTCGATTCTTGCGCTGCCTGTGCTGCCGGTGATGCGGCTGCTGCTGCTGCTGCAGCTTCAAGTGGCTACCACGAGTCAGCATGCCGCCCCGCTTCATCGGTGACGTCAGCTGCTTCTCGTATTCCATCGAATCAACTGGATCTAGCAGATGCAACGGATCGTGTATATTCGGTGGTATAATCACCTCCACCTTCGGCGGCGTCGTTATCGGCGACTGACGCGGCGTCGTCGCCGGCGTATTGTTGCTAGACGACGCATTCGACGTGTTCTCGTGCTGCAGCGAATTCAAGTTCAACGGATCCGAAATGTTGCCACCCAGCAGAAACTTTGTGGGCGGCACAATCACCTCCTTGCGCAAACGCTTCTCGGACAGAAAGAACTTCGAACGGCCGCAGCAGTAGTGCACGGCATTCGCTGCTGCAGCGCTGCCCGAGTTGATGCTGCTGTTGCCGCTCAGCGAGCTGGTGTCCTTGTTGCTTTGCGTGTCCTTGCCGGCTGCGCTGCCGACGCTGCCATTGCAGCCCGTTACCAGGCAGCAAGTGTGATTCGCATTGTTGCCGGAGCACAACACGTGATGATGATGACCTCTGTTAAATGGGAGAGAGAGAGAAAGACATATATAAATATATTTTAGATATTTTGCTTGCATATCAAAGCTCTTAAAAGCTCATTACTTGTCGTCACATTACGTTCTATTATATTCCGTTCCGTTACGTTATACATTTGTTTGCTTCTCATTGTACTACAATTAAGTCGATTAACGTAACATAACTGATTGCATTATGTTACGTAACAGCGCAACGTATGTGGGCTAGCCAGCATTAGTTAAACGTTGAATATATTACGGTATCTTACCTGTGTGGCAGCATCTTTTTGTACTGCTGCTGCTGACCCTTCAGCCCGTGACCGTGACCGTGCCCGCCCAGCTTGGCGTCCATCGGTGCCATGGGCAGGCCGTTGCCTACAATCGCTGCCGCAGTCTGCGCCAGCCGCGTATTATGGTTGTGATGATGGTGGTGAGCGGCGCTGCTGGCAGCGCTGCCAACGCCGGCGGAGCCAGCCGCTACGCTGTGATGTGCGCCGGATTGATGGACGCCGCTATGGGCGTGGCTGCCAGCTATTTGATTTTTGATATTCTGTATATTCTCCAGATCGGCCTTGTGGGCGGCAACAGCGGCCGCAGTAGCTGCAGCGCCCGATGCTGGCAGCGAGCCGGCGCCGGCGCCGACAGCTGCCTGGGCAGCGACGCCGCTCCCGTTCGCCGAGTGATGGGCGGCATAAGGATGGTGATGGTGCTGATGCTGCTGCTGAGCGCTGGCGCCGACGCAGGCGCTGGCATTGTATTTACCGCTAGTCTTATGCTGGCGTTTGCTCCAGGCCTTACTACCGCCGCCGCTGCTGCTGCTGCTGCTTTTGTGCTTGGTGGATTGTTGTTGTTGTGCTGGCGCTCGAAACTGATGGTGCGTCGCCGTCGGCGTAGACGTTGATGTTGACGCTGACGTTGATGTTAACGTCGGCATTAACTGCTGCTTCGGTGACTTGACTTTGATTTCCGTTTGTTCATCTGTTGACTGTTGCTGTTGTTGCTGTTGTTGCTGTTGTTGCTGTTGTTGCTGTTGTTGCTGTTGCTGCTGCTGCTGACGCCTGGGGCTTTGCTGCAGCCGCAACGTGGGCGTCATGCTCGATCTGGTAACGCGACACTCACTGGGACTGACGCTGCTTGGCTTATCCATTACTTTTCTCACTATACTCCGAAAATACTTTTTAGTACTTGGGATATTTCGTATTTCTAATTGTTTTATTTTGTACACTCTTTTTAAGTAAAAATACTCTGCATCATTTTAGCTATTGATATGAGTTGTTCACTGTGGCGCCATCTGTTGTCCGGCGAAAGACATGGGATTTAGTAATTTGTTCTTTTTCCAAATATTATTTAACGCAAAGAGCATGAATTAATATATAGATTTAGATTTTTCAACTTAACATTATTTTAATTCATGCTGCTTACATTTCAATTAATTGGTTTATTGTAAGAATGAAAATAAAATAACTATTTTATAATTTTTACTTTTTCTTCAATTTTATATGTATTTTTTATTATTTAGGCTTTTTATTTTGTGTTTAAAAAACTCACTGCATTGGGATATTGTTTGTCGCAATATATATATATATATATATATTTAAGGTTTTTTTCACTTGAGTTTTCAACAAATTCTTCTTCACATGTTTGTTTTTCTTTTTTCTTTAAGAATCCCACTTTTTGCTGCTCAGCCCGCAACCTTTCCGGGGTCTGAGATGATAGCACAGCGTCCGGCATTAATACGGACATCCTTAAACACGGCGGAAAATGCGTATTTTAACATTTTACTGCATTCGCCTTTTTTCCTCTGTAAAAGTTTTAATTTAATCTTGTTTTTTTTTTCTTTATATTTTATTTATTTTATTTTTATTTTTTATTTTTTTTGCTCTTAACACCCTTTTTTAGCTGTGAACTGTGAACTGTGTTCTATATTTGTATTTTTCAGTTCCTGTTGAAAACTTTTTGCTTCCGTTGCACGTTTACACTTCCGCTTCCTCTTGTATATTGAGCTGCAAGAAAAGAACAAAAAGAAAAATTAAATGAAAATGGGTTAAAATTAATTGAACATTTAATTAGCGATAGTAATTTGAGAGCAAATCTCTCAAAAAAAAAAAATTCATACACACAAAAAGACATAAACCGAAAACTTGATGGAAAAGTGCAAAGTCCTAAAGCAAATTTACCCCAGCTCTATGTCTCGACCCTGTTTGTAGCACCCCGCCCTTCCCCTTTCTGTGCTGCTGCTGCTGCTTTTCGCCTCAGACACACTTCAGCAATATTTTGCGTTCATTATTTGCATAGTCAGCCACCAACGTTGAGCCAGCGAGCCAGCGGAGCAACGACACAAACGAGTTTTGAAAAATTGAGCGCAGACATTTCTCTGCACTCAGAATCCATCCCCATCCCTATGCCCAACCCCCCATGTTCAGCTACCACAGATATCAACCCAAAACTAAACTCAAACCACTGTTGGCACCCAAACGCCTGAGTTGAGCAAAGTGGTTCACTCTGCTAGAGATGGCTGCCGTATCCTCGCAGTTTTCCGGTCTTTATTATCGATATATCGATACTGTTTTCTCTGTCATATACATATACATACATATACTATTTTTACGAAAGTTATTAATGTTCTCTTGGAGCTATCATTCCAAATTTTCTATAGCAAGTTTGAGTATCTGTTCCTTTATATGCAATATATCGATATGTATATCATTATCGATTTGGTAATCTTACTGTCTTCTCTGCCATTTACAGCTACTATATCTAACAAATTTATTTATATGTTCTCTTGAGTCTGATTCCAAATTTTTCTAATACAAGTTTGACTATACTTTGTTATATATACATAAATCTATCTACATATCGATAAACATATTTTATTTCGTTATCTTGCTAGCAATTGTCTCATAAATTTGTACAACAATTTTGCTCTCTTTCTCCTTTCTCTTGTTTATTAAATTCTTAGATTTATCACAAGCCCAAATGAAACTCACGCGCCCATCACTAGTGAGTGCATTAATATTTACACGGCAAATTGTGGCTGGCTGGGTGGTTCGGTGGCTGGAAGCACTCTTTTACCTATCCATTCGTGGCGGTTTTGTGGATTGCAACCAAGCAAAAGCTGAAGCGCAAGCGGAGGCAACCGAGCGGAGAGGCGCAGCCAACAATTCCAAGACCAAAGCATCCACAGCAACGTCCACATCCTCACTCCACTCACTAAAAAAGCCACGAAAAACCTAACTGCAAATTCCAAACAGTCGAAAACAGATTTTCGCACACAAATGCTAAAAAGGAAGAGCGTAGCTCAAATAGTGACAGGGAGGAAAGGAGGGGGGAGAGAGAGAGAGAATAGAAACCGATTTTCTACAAAGTGTCGAATGAATACCTTTTTGAATAGTGAAAAGTGCGCGGGACATACGTACCACATACAACACACAGTCATATGGATAGCTACGCAAACCTATGTGTATCTTCAGTCTATTTAGAGCGAGCGCAACTTCAAGTATCTCAATCCGGCTGGCATTGAGCTCAATGGCTGGCTGGCTGAAAGCCACCAAGGAAATCTAACAATCATTTTATGCATTCTATAAGAAAAGTTGTGAAGAATTTCGACAAAGCAAATGCTTGAGCAGCATCTCAAAATACATAACGAGAGCTGAAATGTGATTATAATCTACATATGTTGCAAGCTGAACAGCACTTGGCTTATTCCACAACTTCAAATAGGCTTATTTCTGTTCAAGTTAAGTGAACATGGGGGACATTTAGGGCAAACTAAAATTAACTGCATTATGCATAGATTGCATACAGTCTAGAATAGATTTGACTTTTTAATCTAGGTCAATATAAGTAAAAACCGCTGAATTTCATGTTACTTCAAAATGAAAATGCGTTGCGATTAATATGAATTTAATATATATGAATTTAATATATATATAAGTTAAGCGCTCCCACACTAGAGTACTAGTGATTGGGGACGCTGTGTTGGGTTCTTGTGAATATATAACAACTTTGTGTTCAATGAAATTATATATTTTATATAATTTGGAACAATAGGTCTAAAATCTCTCTCTCTAGTCCGAATATAAACTGAACTAAATCTGTTCAACTGGTTAGGTTCTCCCCTTGAATGTCTGACTGGACTCTCCAGCCTCCCTAGATTGTCGAAAGTCTTAACTTATATATTTCGTAAAGTTTAAAAAAAATTGAAGTCTTCCAATGACCAGGCAAGAGAAAATAATTTAACTTTGTTCACAAACAAAATTAAGCAAACATAGGGGAATAGCTATTTATTATTATTGCATAAATACAAGTTACCAGGAATAGTTGTTTACCAAGTAAACTGACCGGGGAGAGGACCTATTTGATTTGCACTTTTCCATGTGGGTCAAACAGCTCGGAACGACTTGGGCATATAATTGGATTGAAGTAGCAAAATATTTGCTTAATTTGCAAATAAAATGACCATACGAGAGGCGTAATAAAACATTTAAAGATAACATGGGGGTTGTCTACATGGAGCATAAAAAAAAAAACAATAAAACTGCTCCAGTAGGGAGTGACCGACTAGACGATACCCTGATGCCTGCTATTACAATCTGATTACGCTCAGATAGACTAAAATCGGCTCAATTGAGTCAACCCGTCGTCCTGGTCTAGAATATATATATTTTATAACATTTCAACTAGATGCTGATTTCCAAATTTCATGGGGTTCAGACGTCTCTGGAACGCCCAAGTAAGAATCAAGCCCAGCCGCATGAAGGATTAATATAAATACAGTTAAGCGCGTTTAAAGCTTTTAACCTCAATATAATAAACCCAACGAAAGCTACTTGCTCTTGGCTACTTTGTCACCCCTGCCTCGTTTCTCCACTGCCCTCTCGTAGCCTGTTGTCTAAAGCTCTATGAAAAGCTCTTAAAAAATCAGACCTAGATTTTCTGCCCGCAAAAAACAAAAGAAATTTTTTATTTGCATATTTCGAGGCGCGCGCGCGTAATTGAGAAGAGAGAAAGGCAGAGGGAGCGAGAGGAGACTAAGAGAGAGAGATGGCTGCAGGAAGTTGGCAGGACGAGCGACGCGTGCCACACAAGCTAAATTTTAATTAAAATTTAAATATGCGGCACGTTACGTTGTCGTGCCAAGAGGTTGCCGTGGGCATCAACTTCCCTCTAAACAAACCAGACAAATATGGGACACAAAAAAACAACAATTATTTAGCTAGAGACAAAGAGAGAGGGAGAGAGAGTAAGACTGAGAGAGAATGTAAAAAAGCAGAGCGAAAAGAAAGGAACGAGTGCGTGCGTCTACGCGGTTTCCGTTCTAGGTTTTCAGCAAACTTTCTTTTCATACATTTTTTGTTCGGTCTGAGTGGCCAACGGATATTGTCAATTTTGTTAATTTTGTAAACATTTTTAATGACGGCGCCCCACTTCATCCTTCTGTTCGTCCTGTGCAAGCAGTGAAAGTTGTTTTTTAGTTGGCCCAAATGTAATTTGCATGTAAATCAAATTAGTTCATTTGTCGCAGGACCTGGCACTGCCTTCACTTCCAGCTGCTGCCACAAGTGGCAAGTTCGCTAAGCACTGCTCAAAACTCCCAGATGATGATGATGATGTTGATGATGATGAAGATGGGGCTGCGGTTTGTGGCTTGTGCTGCGCTCTCGTAATTTCAAATTACAATTATTTGTCCAAGCGAATGCACCTTAAGCTACTCTGTATTCTCTATTCAATATCTTTGATGTGAATCTGTCAAGATCTAAATAAATCCAGAGTTACTTATTGCACTGTAAAGGCCAATAAATGATTGGTGAAACTGCTTAGCCTAGGAGCCTCAAGTAAGCTTCTGTTGCAATACTGTTAAATGACTGTTACATTACACACTTTATGTAAAGATAATTCTGTGAATATCTATATGTAAATATTAGTACAGCTGTTAAGCTGATTATGTTACGTTAACATCTGTTAACAATTATATGGTTTGAGCGATTACATACAGTATTAATAAGCAAATGAAGATTTATTAATTTGTAAGCTAATGTTAACATATAAAAATGTTCTTAAAATATTCTACATCTAGGCTAAATTAAATCAGTAAATTGAGCAAATTAACAGGCTCGGATATACACTATACAAATCGAATTTACAATTATAAATAATTATTTTATACCATATAATAATTGGTGATTTATATTGATGCATATCCAAGTCATACCCTACGATATATGAGGTTTATGGGGTATTATTATGTATGCATGTAACATATATGCATGGCGCAGGTGCTTGAAATGTGAAATTGAGTCCTTTGGGACTGCAATATATTTAATGCTATATAAAAAGGCAGCACGTGGCAGTTGGATAGAGATAGCAACAGTGGCGGGAAATATGCCGCAGATAAACAAATAGCGACACATTTGTTTGTTTACCAGAGACTCATACACACACACGCACACACCTGGCTAAAGTTCTTGGACACGGGGGAGAGGGAATGTCCTGGCAAAGCAACTTCTCGCATTGCATATGTAATGTGCGTCATCATTAAGCACAGCTTAACACCTAACGAACGATGGAGAACACTAGAGAGCAAAGTAGGGAATACGAGAGTGGAAGTGGGACTGGGAGTGGGAATGTGGTTCTGCGGATGTGGGTGTGGGTGGTGTGAGCCGTGTGTTATTTAATGCCTGGGCCTTATGGGACTCGCCCGAGATGATGACAACGCGCACACCAGGACAATGAGCAGAGCTACTTCAGCCTGTCGCTAGAGGGTGCCCACATCTGTGGCTCATTTAACATACTTTTGAAATATGAATGAGCATACGAATATATATAGTATACATATCGCGATTACAGCACCGTTTATAAACACAATAACCCGTGTAAAATGGAATGCCAGCCCCTTGAGCACATGTGAAAAACGTTTAGAGACTCCCACGAGATATTTACGCAGCGTATCTTTTCCGATTTATATAAAGATATGATATTTTTAAAATAATAACTTCCTTTTATA